CCAGGCAATGTAACATCTCTAGAAGGAGTCTTAGGTTTGGGCTAGCTTGTATTGCCTGGTATGGTTAAACAAAGGCTCATCACCAGGGTCCTCTGTGGAGTGCTCTGTGGAGTGTCCTCCTCTCTGTATATAGTTCTGTATATAAAGTTCCTGTCCATAATAAAAACTTATCTGCACCACATGGTTCACCTTTAGAAATATCACATGGTACCAAGAGTGGCAGGGACCATGTACTGGTGACCAAGTGCAAGAGCTGAAAGTGCACACAGAAGTGCAGCTTCCAGGTCCAACTCATGGCACTTTGCAGAAAGTGCCATGAGTTAGACCAGGGATAGGCAAAATACAGTCCATTGGCCAGTTCCAGCCTGGCAACAGATTGGATCCAGCCTCATGGGTCTCCACATGGGGCTAACCCCAGCCTGCTCCCACCTGACAGCCTGTGCCACACTCCTGCCTGCATCTTCCCCATGACCACTAGGCAGCACCGCCTCAGCCCCTGACAGTGTGCACAGCTTCCTGGCAGGACTGGTGCCATAGCTGTCTGGGTACTGCTCAGCTCCCTGCGCTTCCAGAGGCTCCTTCTTCTCTTCCTGCCCCTACTGTGCTGCTCTGGGCAGCAGGTAGTGCAGGGAAGCCATGGGGACACACACTGGGCAACAGATGCCCAGCCAGGACCAGCTGATGCCAGCTCCCAGCCATCTTCCATCCACTTGACTGCCTGCAGGTGACTGCTCATCATACTGGGTGGGTGGAGTGGGTAGAAAGTGGCTGGGAGATGAAGCTGGAGCCCCATGTGCTGGGGCAGGAGCTGTCTGGCTGTAGCTTCCCCCTCACCTGGCTGGGCATCTGCTGCACGACACATATCCCCACACACACATGCTCCCCCACACACATATGCACTCCCATCCCTCCTACATGTACCCCTTTACCCACTCCTCATATCCACCACCCACATGCCCACCTCCCCACATGGCTCCCACACACAATATACAAGAGTAAAACTTTATTTTGAGCTCTTATGCAATTGCCTCTATATATACTACTCAAAAATACACAAATCAAGAAAAAAAATATTTTTTAAATAAAATTAAAATATTATAGGAGCTGTTTGATTTTTAGTATATGATTTGTTTGCTATCTATAATTTGTTAAAATTATTTCTTCTGAAAGATTTTATATGTATGGCCTTTGACAGCTCACCAAAACTCAGTCAGTGAATCTCCAGGTGAAATAATTGCTCACCTGTGAGCTAGATTGATCTTCCCAATCCAACAGACATTAGCTGTTGGGTTGGAAAAGTGGGAGACTGAGCTCCAACTTGTAGCAGATCCAGGAAGAGAGGCTGCATCTCTGCAGCCTCTTCCCCTAGCTCTGCCCACTCTCTCCCAGCTCCCATGCTTGCTCAGGATGGGAGGGCGGTCTGTTCTAGGGTTGCCCAGCCGGTGCTAGAGGGTGGAGCAAGTGGATTGGAGCCCCTCCAAGGTGGGGGGGTCCAATCCACCCCCCTCCCCACTTCAGCACTCCTGGGGAAACTCTAGAACAGACCTCCCTCCCATCCTGAGTCAGCATGGGAGTTGGGAGAGAGGGGAAAGAGGCTACAGAGACTTAAAAAAATTTTTTTTTTCCATATTCCAAGCCAAATTAGCCAAAACAAATTCCAAAACTGAGAGTCAGTCCAGAACCATATATGGCCCTACTACCGGCAAACATCCTCCACCCCAATCTGGGGCTTTAGATGTTCCCAAATCCTTTGGTGGGCATCCTACTTGCAGACCCAAGCCCGGAGATGTCGGGTTTGTGTGCCCCTGAGTTTCGCTTGCCCTTAGCCATAAGGCCCCAGGAGCAAGCTAGGGAGTCTCCCATTCCCATACAATGGAGAAAAAGCCAAGGTTAATTTTGCATTACCTATGCAGGTACTATCACATGCCAGCAGAGCAGTCTTCCCTGGGTGTGACTAGGAAGCCACCATGGTGATCATGGCATTTATCCTGCCAGGCAAGCATAGGGCTATGCTTGATATGAGCCGACAAAAGAGGATGCAGAGATGCTCCTTCCCTACCTCCCATTCTGAAAACAGCGCAGGGAGCAGTACTGGGCTGTGCCAGATAAGCCCTGCTTCCAGCAAGACAAAGGTTACTAAGGATGTTCCACTTGGGAGTGCCTTCATCTGAACCCTCCTGTAATGAGGGTTCATATTTTTGTGGGATCCCTTTTAAAGTGCTCTTCAGCCATGCACTTGTGTTTGCTTATGGCTGTAGAGCACTTTCAGGGGCCAGATTGGGTGAAAATTGTCACTTCTGTCTGCTTCTTTCCAGAATGGTTGCAGCAGGTTCTGTGACACTATAAGTGACACTTCCCCCTCTCCACCCTCCGCCTCCCTCACAGACATATCTCCCATGCTCTCCGACCATCAAGGAGACTGTGGCATATGCCTGGAAAAAAATTCAAACAACAGTTTGAGCTGTCTATGAAAGCTGCTGGGGCAGATCAATTAAAGGATAAGGAAAAGATTGCTCTTCTCTTAAGAGGAGGAGGCAATGAATCACTGGAGGTGTATAATGCCATCTATGCAGAAGTGAAAAGGGAGAGAGAAAAGTCTTGCAGGAATAATGAAAATGCTTGAGGATCATTGTGCTCCTAGAAAAAATATCATTTAGGAGAGGTAAATGCTCAGGATGAGAACACAGAAGAAAAGGAAAAAAGCGGAGGAGTTTATTACTGACCTGAAACTGAAAATTGATCGTGTGACTATGGAACACTAAGCAACTCTCTTATAGCATAGCAGATTACCATATTGTCCCGGGATGTAAGGATTAAAAAAGTCCGTGAGCAATTACTGAGGGAGCAGGTTCTGATACTAGAAAGGGCAATGTATATATGCCTAGTGATGGATTAATCACAAGCAAATACAAACCCTAGAAGAATACTTCACACAAAACTTGACTGCTAAGTACAGTTCATGGGAAAAGTTGACAGGAAGTAAACTGGGCAGGGACAGAACTAGAGGTTGCAGCAAACAATGCAGACTATGTGATAATTAGCACACAGCTCTGCAGAAACTGTAATAAACCTGACATTGTGCAGAGAAAGGAGGGAAGTGCACGCAGTAAGTGCAGAAACTGGCTCCTCCAGTGAAGAATAGGAGCTGTTCTTAAGCTCCTATCTTAAGTCTTTTAAGTTTGGATTCCCAGACTT